ATTGAAGGATGATTGGAAATCCGAAGATGGTGTAATGATATTCTCTCCAAGAGAGGATGCAATAGGTTTTCTATTCAGATGATGTGGATGATCTGAAGATGCAGATACTAACTTTTTAATATATCTTACCCAGGCAAGCCCCGGTGCATAACCCCTACTTTCTGCAGTTTAAATTATAATTGTGCATTAAGTTTCAACGAGTTGAATGAAACTCACCTATATATATATATATATATATATATATATATATATATATATATATCCTATGAGTCTTACTAGTATGACAGGATCATGTAGATTGCTATACCACAGGACTCCGGTACAAGTCGAGTGATTGCCTGTCACTCACAAGATATAGGAAATATATTACTAGATTATTATCACTTGGAAAAATGTAAATGGTGGAAAGGAAAATGGTGACTGGGTAGGGATACGGTTTGGGTATTAGTGGGTGTAAGAGGTTGTGTCGCCGTGGACGCAGGGCATGGCTTGGTTACACTATTTTCCCTGTCTGAGGCGATTAAGGACCGATCGTTGCATAAGGCTCTAGGCAAGTCACAGACTTATTATCCCGAGCACATACTTGGGTATGGGCGCTTGGAAGACTTGTTGCTCTCTTATCATGAACCCGGCTCTTTCTGGACCGACTGTCAGGGTTTTATTTTGGTGGAGGAGGTCCTTGCACCGCACTGAGTCCGGGACTCAGGGGCGGGGGCTTGGAGTCCCAGTTTGGACGGGGACCTGGACACCTGGGATAGGAGAGTGATGGGTTGGTCCGGCTTGTGCCTGGGGTACAAGCGGGGCATGTGTTTTCGGGGTACCCACCCGGGGGCATTGATTTGTGATTCGCCGGGAAATCCGGCACGGCTCGTCTGCGGCCTAGCATCGTAGTAAGAACTGAAGATGAAAGATGGAAGATGGAAAAAGGAAATCTGATTACTTACCACCTGCTTGAAAGTAGCATAGGTGCTTACATAGAATGGTTAGTTAATGAACCAATACGGCTATTAATAAAAATCAAATATAAGGACGCACGTTTAGTAATGCTTCCTGCAAATGCAATAAACCCACAAGCTAGATAGCCTTGCATATCTTTGGAGTATTTTCTTTCCTCCTGTCGGGTAAGTCTTGTTGAGTACAATTGAGTACTCAGGGTTTTATTTCTCCTGTTGCAGGTGACTGGTGGAGGCTAGAGCTGACCTTTGTGTGTGGATTCCTCCTGGTGGACTCAGAGAGGATTTCTTTTACGCTGCGATCGTAGCTTTTATTTCTAACTCTCACCAGATGTTTTTATAAATGAAAGTGTTATAATATGTTGTCATAGTTTATATATCAATGCTTCATCATGCCATGAATAGCTATTTATTTCCGCTGTAATTCTGATAACATGTTTATATTCCGCTATAACTTAAATTATTCATAACTCTGATAATATGATTATATTCCGCTGTTATAATAATAAATATTATACTCTGATGTTGTATTAAAGTGATGTAAGAAACGGTTAAGAATGATGTAAGCTTTATTCTCTTATTTGTGATCTTGAGGTAAAAATGTGGATTTTCGGGTTCTCCCTTGGGGTGTGCCCAACGGAACCGAGTAATTTATTGTTCTCCCCTGGGTGCTTAGTGTCTAATGAAAGACGAGCACTCCTGTGAGGCATTAGATTAGGTGGTTCTACCACAGGTGCTCTTCGCTCCGCCGCCTCCCAGCCCCGATCTACCCATCGAGGTGGTTTGCATGTTTCCTCGACGCGCCTGACATGGTGGTTGCCACGCCACTAGAGTTTCGCATCGTTGCAAAAGTAGATCGGGATGTTGCATATGTTGCAATGACTATACACGTATGTTGCAAGCGTCTGCTCCAAATGTTTCATCTATTTTTTCAGACGTATGTTACAGATGTGTTTACTTGGATGTTGCATATGTTTCACACATATGTTGGAAGTGTTTTATCTGGATGTTGCATATGTTTTACAATGACTTTTTCATGTGTGTTTTGCAATGGTTTTTGCAAGTTTTTCAGGTGTTTTTGCAAGTGTTGCAGCCACATGTTTCAATTGTTTTATCTGTCTTCGGACGTATGTTGTAGATTTCATCCTAATGTTTCAAAAGTAGATCGGGTGTTGCATATGTTGCAATGATGTCGTTGGCTGATAGATGGGGACGCGACAGGACTTGGTGTGGACCTCGACGGAGGAGGAGCCGTCTAGGGACGCGAAGAAGACAGCGCGAACGGGGATGATGAGGTGTGGCGCTGCATGACGTGGTAGGACCCTGCGGATGGGGCTTGGCAGGAGTGCACCTAAAATGGCAGCGCGGCAGCGGATGGGAGCGCGGAGAGGATAGGCCGTGAAACAATATAATATAAAGACAGAGAACCCCCTCAGGGCATATTGTTCCCCAACAGCCAACAATAACACAATCACGTTTATTTAAAGCGTTTAATTAGGATATATAGGAAGTGGAAATATTGCAATAATATGCTATTTATATTTTCAATGGATAAATATTGTGAAACACATATCATTCCGAAGGCATCATCAACAAACTAAAGCCAAAAAAAACGGTACTCTTTTGCAACGGGGGCAGTCTGGACATGGCCCCACATGTCTCGATCGAGCGTTTTAATCCAATTGCAAGCAAAGCATTATTCGCCTATGTATGCTTTAGAAAAAGATCTAATAATGTAATGAAAGGGCGGTTGGTGCTTCCACGCATACAAGCAAAAGGAATCGTGCGCTGCCTCAAGGGCTATTCAACTTACTAGATGTGCCAATTTTCAAAAAAAAAAAAGAATAAATCCTAGATGTGCCAGCCTTTTCGCTTGTCGAGAGCACACCTCAAAAATAATCTCTTCCATCTGGGCCGCGTTTAGTTCGGCCCCGGATTCGGCGCTGCCGGAATCCGAGGCACTGTAGCGATACTGTTGCACACGGTAGCGTTTTGTTTTTATTTGGTAATAATTGTCTTATTGTTGACTAATTAGACTCAAAACGTTCGTCTCGCAAAGTACAACCAAACTGTGCAATTAGTTTTTGATTTCGTAAACATTTAGTACTCCATGCATGTACCGCAAGTTTGATGTGATAGGGAATCTTCTTTTTATATAGTGCCAAAATCTGTAAAATGAGGGAACTAAACAAGGCGATTCGATCCATGACAAAAACATCTGCACTGATCCCACGTTATCAAGTACACTGTTCTCATATATACTTCCTTAAGTTTCATATTTCTTATTGTTTTATTTTAAACTAGTTTGACGTCAATTTTTTAGAAAAAAAAATTTCCTGAAATTTTTTTGGTAAGGTTAGGCTCGGGCAACCGGATCTTTCAAAAAAATTCTTCGTCTTAAATGGAAGAATATTTTTTCTATATCTCAAAGTGTACCTTCTTTTGAAAATAGCTTGACTTTTCTTTGGTATGGCTAGTCTCGGAAGATTGACATCTTGTGGACAGGGATGGATCCAGCGGTGAGGCGGGCGGGGCTCTAGCCTCCCCTACGGCCGTCGGACCAATGGAGTCCCTCGTTAGCTCTCCCCCTATAAATTTTTGTCATAGATGTACCTTGATGAGAGGTTAAAGCTGTTTGGAGAAGAAAGAAGCCCCTCCTAAGTATTTTCTGGATCCGTCCCTGCTTGTGGATTGGGTACTGTGGTCGTCTCCTAGCAAGCTATCTTTTGTAGCGGTCCAAACCTTATAGGTAATCAATCTTGTCGTGTGTGTTTTTTTTTCTCCCTCCACAACAAGCCTTGATAGCTTCGCCTTACAAGAAAAGAAGACTTGGTATGGCAATTGGTTTTAATTTGAAGTAGGTGTGGACTTATCGTGGCGGTGTAGAGGTGATGATGGACTCTAGTACTGTGAGAGAGAGCTTGTAGCTGGCATCTTGTCTTTAGAGCCATATTCATGCTAACTTGGATCGGTAAGGCTTAGTGGTTAAATGCGTGGGAAACTACCTTCTTATACTCCCTCCATTTGTTTTTACATATCACATTAGTTTTATTCTAAATAAATCAAATATTATTATCTTTGACCACTCATTTCAAAAATCCTTATAGTTTGACACCATATAAATCATATATTATGAAAGAACTTTCATGGTAAATCTGAAAATATAAATATTATGTTATGAATCTATATAAAGTTTTTCAAATCAATGATCAAAGATACAAATATTTAAACAAAGCTAATACGATACGTAAAAAACAGAGGAAGTACGAGATGTGGCCTGAAACCAGGCCGATGAATTCGTTAAATAATGCTGTCCCCGATTAGAGCAACTACGGCTGTTAGCACCTTATGACTTGGTCCTCTGACCGAGCCCTTGGTCAACTCTAACACGCTTCTCCGTGGCTTTCTCATTGAGGATTGGATGATTCCACTCCGGCGTCACCTAGGGTAGGTAGGGATTTAACTTGTCTACCAAAGCCCCACCATGGTCCATGAATGAATACCCACCACACAAGCTTGAGATATTTTTTTAAGGAAATAGGAGGTATCAGAAAGATCCTACTGAAATATTCCCTTCGTTTTAGAAAAAATACAACTCTAACACAGTGTCATGTTTTACTATCTTAATTTTAACCAGTTATATAGATTAAAAAGTATCAATATTTATAATATCAAATAAATAATATTAAACTAAGTACGAAATGTGTTTTCATAATAAATTGATTTGGAGCTATAAATGTGAATAATATTTCATAGAAACTTAGTCAAACGATGAATCACTTTAGCTGGTATGCAGTCCATAGTTGCATTTTTTTTTTTTTGAACAGAGGGTATATAAAAACCAACAAAGAGAGCACATACGTGATTGGTGCGTGATGAGATAGCTATAGATATTTGCGATTCACCTATTTATAATTAATATATAAGTTGCCATTTGCGATTCCTATATAGCAAAGTCCATAACATATATGCTTGTGCGAACAAGAGGGAGAGAGATAGAAGTACTAGGCTACTAGCTAGCTAGCTAAGCCACTCCATTAGCTGATGATGGAGGGCGGGGCGGCGGCGCAGAGCCTTGTGATCAATGTTGGGCAGCTTGTGGGTGAGGAGTTCCGGCAGCTCCACGGCGTGGGCGGCGAGGTGGCACGGCTGAGGAACGAGCTGGCCACCATCAACGCCCTCCTCCGCATGGAGTCCGAAGCCGACGAGGACGTAGTGGACCACTTCGTCCGGGAGTGGATGAAGCAGCTGCGGGAGGTGGCTTACGACGCACAGGACTGCGTCGACCTCTACCTATTCCGCGTCAGGTCCCGGCAGGGTGTCCGCTGTTTCGTCCGGTGGAAAAGGCTCCTTGGCACCCTTTGGGCTCGCCGTCGCCTCGCTGGTGACATCAGGGACCTCCGCGCCCTTGCTTCCGCCATCAACGAGCAGCATGCTCGCTACGGCGTCAGCCTCGAGCCGCTGCGCCGCACGGCTGCTGCTTCGGACCCCGCGCAGGCAGTGGCGGCGTCGGCACGGGCGCTCCGCCCAGCTGACCACCACCACCCCAGCAACCAGTTCGTCGGCAACAGGGCCCAGGCTACCTACCTGGCCAACAAGGTGAAGGCGCTAAAGAGTGACGATGAGAATGACAAGCAGCTCAAGGTGTTCTCCATCGTCGGCTTCGGCGGGCTCGGCAAGACTACGCTCGCAGTGGAGGTCTGTCGGCAGCTGGAGACGGAGTTCCAGCGCCAGGCGCAGGTGTCCGTGTCCCAGACATTCAGCGGCAAGGACCTCCAGGGATTGCTCAAGCGCCTTCTTCTGCAGATCGCGCTGCCGAGGACTACGGATCTCCTGGTCAACATCGACACCATGAATGCGGACGACCTGGAACGCGAGCTCGGAGAGAGGCTCAACAACAACAGGTAGGTACAATAACTTTCATCATCAATTATTAGATAAGCAAACCCATGTACCCAGCTGTGGGCTGCTCAAAGTCCAAACTCCAAACTCCAAACTCCAAACTCAAGAAACCTCTTTTTTTTCCCTCACCGTGGGTGGGTCCCACAAACCGAACACACACTGAACCGAACCAAAGCTGGGCTGCAGTATATAAGTATAAGGGTATGTTTAGATCCACTAGACTAAAAATTAGCTAACTAAGAGCATCTCGTATGGCCTCTCTATTTTCTGCCGAATAGCCCAAGGGCCTGTTTAGTTTCACTCTAAGATGCTAAATTTTTCAAGATTCTCCGTCACATCGAATCTTTGGACACATGCATGAAGCATTAAATATAAATAAAAAATAAAACTAATTACACAGTTTAGACGAAATCTACGAGACGAATCTTTTAAGCCTAATTAGATTATGATTGGACACTAATTATCAAATAACAACGAAAACTGCTACAGTGTCATTTTGCCAATTTTTTCGGCATCCAAACGGTGCCCAACATAGTCTTTATCCCCTTCTCCAAAAATAGATTGTTCGCTCACTAGAGGAGGCGAGCGGCGCTCACTCGCTATCAGGACTCACAGCCCCTCTCCCACGCTCCTCCCCCATCTGCAGACGCTATTTCTGGACATGTTCGCAGCCTCATTGGCTGAGAAGAAAGGACAACAAAATATGAAGTCTGCTGTAGTGCTCTAGTTATTTGGAGAGCCGATCTTTTTAGGGCCTCTAAATCCTGGTATTTGAAGATTAATTTTACATAGTTTCTCTTGGAGATGCTCTAATAGCTGCTAATTTTTAGCTAGCTAATTTTTAGAATGGGCTATTTGAATCCACCTGCTAAAAGTTGGTTAGATAGCAAGTTGAAGGTGCAAATGAACTATTAAAAACACCAAATCCGATAATGGAACTAATAGTTAGCAACCCTCCGATTAATAATTAGGAGATTTCTTAGTAGATCTAATTAGATCTACTAGTACTAATTTTAGCAGCTAATTTTTAGTGCTAATAGATCCAAGGCTCTGAGTACAAGTATTAGTAGTAGTTCTAAACGCGTAACAATTCCGTGCGCTCTAAGCGCATCCACGCATGCGCCGTCACAGTTGACTATTGTTTCGATACTGTTATGTTACTGTTTCAATCACTGTTGGCACAACTCAATTTTTTTTTCAAAATACCTTGGTAAACAACTTTCTTGGTGAAGCTCAGCTATTTTATAAAAACTGTTTGACAAGACAGCTTCACACATTAGACCAAGACATCTTCACACATTAGACCAAAACAGCTTCACCAAAAACAATTACTATAATACCCCTTAGCATTTTCTTTTGTAAAATTTTACGGCGCTTGAAAAAAAGTAGAGTCATTCATTTAGAGATCAGATGGCTATAAAATAAAAAGAACGGAGGAAATTAAGTTGTGGGTCGAAACCTGAAATATGTGGGTCTAGAACCAAAAATATATGTGTTAAAAATTATTTATAAAATGAAATTAAAGGGTAGAATAGTACTTTATATCCCTAGTCTCCCTGTCTCCTTCACGCGAACCCGTGCGTGCTCCTCCCGGCGTACGCGTGCCTCGGCCGCTCCAACGAGTTCCTCCTCGCCGTGCGCCATGCAGGCCACGCAGCAACTGAGCCAGCAGGAGGACGTTGCGCACGCCGCCATGGGGCACGCCGACCAGGGCGGTGCACAGGTGCAGCATGTCGCGTAGCAAGCCGACGTCGAGGCCTTCAAGAATGCCGTTACCGGCATGAGCGACGTCGAGGCCGTCATGAACGCCGTCACCGGCATGAGCGACCAAGAGATCAACGATGCATGCACCTGCAGCTACCCTGCTATGTGCATCCGTTCACAAATTCGATTGATGTCCTGGCTCAAGAGCAGAGCACGGCGTATGGTTCAGGCCTGCGTTCGGCAGGCGGATGCAGGACGGAAACAAAGGCTAAATAATAAAGATTTAAGGATAGAGTTAGAGATTAATAATGATTTGAGATTAAGTAACCATGGTCTAATAAAGAAATCAGGCTCGTTAGGTGAGGATGTATCCCGGCAGCCCTCTTTGATCCGCCCCCGCGTACGAACGTACAATAGGCACCATTACCGCAAGAAGAAGTACGTCGACATCGGCTGCCTCGTCGGCGGCCGCAAGCTCTTCGTCGGGACACTCGGGGTGCTCCTCGCCGTCGCCAAGTTTGCCATGCTCAACCTCGTCCGCGGCCGCCGCATCTTGTCCAGGCTCCACGCGCCGCCGCCTTCGCCCTCACAGCCACCAGAGACAAGCTCCCTCCCGGCCTCCGCACCGTGCTCCTTGACTCCTCGATATTCCTCTCCTTCCAGGGGGCAGCGACGCACCTCTGCTCCGTGCTCCTTGATTCCCCGATGTTCCTGTCCTTCCTGCGGCAGTGACGCAGGAGCAGCGTTCGTGGGATTGGGTCAGGGAGTTAGAGATTCTGTATAGAGGAAATGTACTAAACTACCCTTAATTACAATTAATTATTTTCTTAATTCACACCTGCGGTAAATAATTTTAATGGGTGGAACCACCGGTTCCTCCCAAGCACCGTAACAAATTTTTCCTGGTCTTCTTCCTGTGTATTATTTTCAGGATGCAACGGCGGTGCCCTCGGCGGCCCGCGCCCCCAGCGACGACGCCCTTCCCGGTGGCCCGTGCCCCCACAGCGGCGCACCCTCTCGGCAGCTTGAGGCCCCCACGGCGGCGCCTGTCCTAGTGGCCCACGCCTGGCCAATGCTGCGCCTGCGCGCGCGCCCGGCTGCCCCGTCTCGACGGCCACGCCCGCAGCGCCCCACGCCCCCAACGGCAGTGGCCTAGCCTTGCAACCTCGGCAATGGTGCCTCGGCCCCGTGCACCCGGTGTCGGAGTCCCAGCCCCACCCGACGGCGGCAGCCTAGCCCCGTGCCTCCGGCGTTGGTGACCCGGCCCTGCTCCCCGCCGTTGTGCCCTTGCCCGGCGGTGTCCGGCGATGGGCTTGGCGACGGTGGCTGCAAGCTTGCCATGGCGGGCTCTGTCCCGTGGCGGCCGCGCGCCCCGGCCATGAGGTCCACTCCCCATGCGCTGCTTCCCAGAGAGAGAGGGGCGTATCCAGTCTTTTAGGTCCACTAGGCCCACTTGTGCCAGATAAAGCTGGAATAAACTGTTTTTTCATCAATCTCCCACCCCATTACCTTGTGAGAGAAAAAAAAGACTCTCACCCATGAAGCTGTTTTGAAAAAGTTTGTTTGAAAAAAAAAAACAGCTCATAATAGCTCAAGGTAAACTAAAGGTACTAGTTAAAACCCAAGACGCATTAGATGATTTTGCATAGAGACGGTGACCCATATAATTTTTCCCTAAAATGATGCTACCTCCGTATGTTTATATGATATGATGCTTGGACAAAAAAAGGCAATAAAGGTTACTTAATTAGATTATTATAAACCAAACTTTCATAAATTAAAATATGGTGAGTATACATTGTTTTGTACTCCATCCGTTCAGAAAAAAAATGTAATTATGGGATTCGTGCCGGTCAAACTGGCACACGTTTGATCAAATTTATAGTAAATACTATTATAAAAATATATTGGGTAACTAATCTAATAGTACTTATTTTGTATTAAGAATATTGATATTTTTTATAAAAATTTAGTTAAATTTAAACTGTTTGGTTTCTCGAAAAACGAGAATTGCATTTTTTTTTACGGAGGGAGTAACTATATATTGTGTATCTGTAAATGTAGGTACCTCATTTTGATCGATGATGTATGGAGCATAGCAGCTTGGGATGCGATCCGGTCGAAATTACCAAGCAGCAACTGCGGCAGCAGAATCATTGTGACCACCCGGATAGATACCGTGGCAAAAGCATGCAGTGATGCCAATGACGATTACATCCATCACATGAAGAAGCTAAACGATGAAGACTCGGAGCAGTTGTTCGTCAGCAAAGCATTTGGCATTGGAAACACTTGCCCCAAGGATCTGGAAGCTGCGATGAGAAGTATCTTGAAAAAATGTGGCGGCCTACCATTGGCCATTGTTAGCATTGCCAGCCTCTTGGCAAGCTATAAACCTCCAGAAGGCAAAAGAATGTGGGAAACAGTTCAGAAGTCAATCGGTTCACAGATGGAGACCAACCCTACCCTCGAGGGGATGAGGCAAATACTCACACTGAGCTACAACCACCTACCCCATCACCTCAAGGCTTGCATGATGTACCTTAGCATTTTCCCTGAGGATTATATCATTGTAAAAGACCGGCTGCTCAAGAGATGGATAGCTGAAGGACTGGTCGCTGAGAAGCGAGGACTGACCCAGATGGAGCTTGCGGAAGGCTACTTCAATGAGCTAATGAGCAGAGGCATCATTGATCGGGCCACCATACTCGTCACCTTGCGTGAAGGGAGGGAAGAGGGGTGCCGAGTGCACGACATGATGCTTGAGATCCTAGTGTCCAAATCCCTGGAGGCTAACTTTGTTAGCCTAATAGGTCGGCAGTACGAGGGGACCATGTCTTATAGTGCTAACACGATCCGCCGCCTCTCCATACATGGTGGAGTTGAGGCACACACGGACGACGGCTCTTCATCGGCTACTGTGGCAGCGCGCCGCCGTGGTGTCGCGGGGATTGGTGGTGGTGTCACAGGAATGATCGTGCAGCATGTCCGATCGCTGAGCATATTTGATCCTGAAGCGCACAATAAGCTGCTCTCTCGACTGGACGAGTTCGCCCTGCTCAGGGTACTAGACCTGGAGGGCTGCAAGGGCCTGGGAAGGAAGCACATGAGTTGTATCTCCCGGATGTACCTTCTAAGGTTCTTGAGCTTGAAAGGTACAGATATCAAGGAGATGCCTCCAAGAATTGGCGATCTTGAACATCTGCAGACGCTCGATGTACGTCAAACCGACCTCAAGGACCTGCCTACAACAGTTAAGAAGCTAGAGAAACTGGAGCACCTGCTCTTCTCTGGTAAGGGTGAGTCGTGGACAGGTTGGATGCTGCCCCAAGGGATAAAAAAAATGAGGGCACTGCGCCAGGTGAACAAAGCAGTGATACACGACCCTGCGGTCGCCGAGGAGATCGGTGAGCTGGATCAGTTGCAAGAGCTAGCTATCTATGTTGACACGAGAGAAACAGCAACCAGAATAGATCAGAAGAAGGTTGCCGAGAAGCTTGCCTGCTCCCTGAGCCAGATGTACTCCCTGCGATGGCTTGACATGGGCAATTTTGGCTGCGACAAATGGCCTTTTGTTCCGATCATGGACTTTTTGCATCAAGTAGAGTCACCGCCACGGTTGCTCCGGTACCTGAAGATCTGTGGCTGCATCAGCAGATTGCCAGACTGGCTGCAGTCACTCACTGATCTCGTTGAATTTGACATAGGGTGGACGTACCTTAATGGCGTCCAGTTATTCAACGTCCTCTGTAAGTTGCCCAGCCTACAGAGGCTATACCTAGGGCCATACTTCATTCGGAAAGGAGAAGATATGGTTGCACGCAGCAGCCAGTCTTTCCCAGAGCTCAAGGAACTCACTCTGGGCTATTCTCCTGAAGTTCCTCCAGTTTACATATTTGAGGAAGGGTCCATGTCAAAGCTAGAGACTCTAGCGGTGTATATCGGCGACCAACCCAAGGAAATTGTTGGCATCCAGCACTTGACGAACCTCAAAGAGGTGTACTTCAATGGTTGGAGAGACAAACTGAAACATGCAGTGGAGCAGGTAGAGGAGCTGAATAAGAAGCGAGACGTGTCCGAACAGATAACTATTAGAGTAAAGTATGAGGACACGACGAACTGAGCTTAATTTGCTCAGCTGCCTAAGTTGCTTCACAAGCTATTATGTAATAACGTGTTTCAGAGCAGATGAGCATTAAACCTCAAACTCTGATGTAAACTGAACCTTTTGATATTAGGCCGCAAGGGCCAATGAGCAATATATACAGGTGGGGGCTTCTCAACCCCCCACCCCGGTGACATATAAAAAAAGATGGTTCAAATACTTGACTTGATGACATGATTACTCGCATTATTCTGAATATATATTCTACAAAAATTTAATGGGTGCCTACCTGAGGCAGGCAAGCATCACAAAGATGCGATACGGCCACAGCATGACGAACAGCCTTAGCTCCTCCAGCGACCACCGTGCCTCCCATCCGCCTATATATCCTCTGCCGGCACCTGGTCGATCAACCGATCGGCCTTTTTGAAGAAGAGAGCTAAGACTTGCTTAGGTCATTGGCTCTACTGCAACGCTCGAATAAGAACAACTAGTGCAAATATATTCTACAAAAATTTAACCGGCGCCTACCTGAGGCAGGCAAGAACATCACAAAGTAACGATACAGTTGCAGCATGACAAACAACCTTAGCTCCTCCAACGAAGACGGCCCCTCCAATCCGCCTATCCTTTGTCGGAACGTGGTCGATCAGCCTATCGGTCTTGTTGAATAAGAGAGCTAAGACTTGCTCAGGTTATTGTCTCCGCCGCAACGCTCGGATGACAACAAATAGTGCATGTTTGAGATATCCTGAAGTTGAGCATCGCTTTCAGAGGTATTGCTAAGTGTAATTTTGGTATTGGTGGCACCGTGGGAGTTTGGGATGATTAACTCTTGGACCAACCTTTCACTTCCAAGTTCCCAAATCTGTTTCAATATGCTAAAGACTGCAGCTTGTCTGTCCAAGTGGTCCTAAACAGGGAAGAACTGCTAGACCTTCTTTGGCTTCCTATGTCAAGAGCAACTTTTAATGAATTCTTGGTGTTCAAAGAAGTATTGGACAGGCATAGAGCACAAGATCCTCCCGATGATTCTTGGTGTGCTACATTTGGGACAATGGCACATACAGATCGGTCAATTCTATCCGCGTCACTTTGCTGCTATAACTCCAACAGCTTTTCTCTAGATATGGAAAGCAAAATGCATCCCAAGAATCAAGTTCAACACCTGCCTTCTCTTTGTAGATAGGTTGAATACAATGCTGATGATACAATTTTATGTATCCAAGATGATAATGAGCAGGCCTCCCATCTTAAACTTCTGTATCTCTATGAAGCTATGTCCGCCTTGAAATCAATTTCTCAAAAAGTGAAGTCATAATGGTGAGTCAAGATGATCCAAAAAGCCTTGAATTCTCTAATATGTTCAATTGTGCTATTGGTAAATGGCCTATTAAACATCTGGGAGTCCCTGTGGCTGGCTCCAGATTGCATGTAGCTGACTGGTTGGCTATTGGTGAAAAATTGATGAAAATACTAGAGGGTTGGAAAGGTAGTTCATTAAGTTTGGAGGGTAGACTAGTGCCCATTAACTCTTGTTTGAGTAACCTTCCTGTCTATGCTATGTCAATGTATTGTACCTGTTTCAACTCTTAACAAAATGGACTCAGCTAGAAAAAGATATTTTTGGCAAGGGGTTGAGCCCGTATCTCTTTGCCTTGGTAATGGACGAAGTGACAAGGGACATTCAAGAGAATATCCCTTGGTGGATGCTTTTTGCAGACGATGTAGTGCTAGTTGATGAAAACCAAGCAGGAGTTAATAGGAAACTGGAGTTATAGCGACAGACCCTTAAGTCCAAAGGTTTTAGAGTAAATCGAACTAAAACAGAATACATGAGATGCAACTTTGGCAACGCTACACATGAGGAGGGAGATGTGAGTTTGGAAGGTCAAGTGATGTCTAAGAAAGATACCTTCTGCTTTCTAGGATCGATGCTACAGAAGAATGGAGATATTGATGCAGACGTTTGCCATAGGATCAAAGCAGGGTGGATGAAGTGGCGCCAAGCATCTGGCATTCTCTGTGACAAGAGGGTACCACAAAAGCTCAAATGCAAGTTTTATAAAACGGCGATTAGACCCGCTATGTTGTATGGAGCAGAATGTTGGCCTACAAAAGACGACATGTCCAACAATTGAGTGTCGCGGAAATGCATATGTTGCGATAGATCTGTGGTCACACAAGGATGGACCGAGTTCGGAACGATGATATACGTGACCGTCTAGGAATAGCACCAATTGAAGAAAAGCTTGTTCAACATAGGTTGAGGTGGTTTGGCCATGTCCAAATAAGACCTTCAGAGGCACCAGTGCAGTGTGGAATCCTAAGTCATGATACCAATGTGAGGTGAGGTAGAGGAAGACCGAAGCTGACATGGGGGGAGGCAACAAATAGAGATTTAAACGATTGGGATATACCTAGAGATCTTTGTTTAGATAGGAGTGCTTGGAAAGCAGCTATCGACATGCCTGAATCGTGACTAGGGGCGCATGTTGGGTTTCAACTCTAGCCTACCCCAACTTGCTTGAGACTAAAATGCTTTATTGTTATTGTTGTTGTTGTTGTTGTTGTGGGGAATCTGAAGAAAAAATACCATTTGGTCAAATGGTCTAGAATCACAAAGCCTAAAAATAAAGGAGGGTTAGGCATCAAAGACTTGAGAAGAATGAACATCAGCTTGTTGTGTAAGTGGTGGTGGAAAGCTGAGAATGGTAGTGGAATTTGGTAGGACATCATTAGAAAAAGTGCCTAGAAAAAGGGGAATATCACCTTGCTGAAGAAAATTCCAAGGAATTCCCCTGTGTGGAATGATCTGTTGAAAGTGAGGCATATTTACATCAGGGGTAGAACTATGGTAGTGGGTGATGGCAAGTCTACCAGTTTCTAGCATGACCCTTGGTGTGGTCTTGTCTCCTTGGCATAGTTGGCAGACAAGTTCCCTAGTCTATATGAGATAAGTGAGGAAAAGGACTGCTCTGTGGAATATATGAAAAAGAAAAATTGGCGTATATGTCATTCAGAAGATGGTAGCATGAAGAGCTGCAGAACCAACTGAGAAGGCTTCAGGACATTGTATATCGTTGTGCTGTTTATAATGATAAAGACAGAGCTAAATGGGACTGGGAGAAGTCTGGTGTCTTTTCTGTGAAGTCCACATACAAACTTCTGTGTAGGCATGAAGTTGGCCCCAGTTTTAAGAAAATTTGGAAAGCTAAAATCACTCTGAAAATCAAAATTTTCACGTGCTTGTTTCCTAAAATGCCATTCTTACTAAAGATAACCTGAGAAAACGTAAGTGGAAGGGTAATGCTACTTGTGCCTTTTGCACAGAAAAGCAAGATGGGCATCACTTATTCTTTGGATGTCTAACAGCCAAATATCTGTGGAGTCTATTGGCTAAATCCTTGGGGTCTGATTGCAGACCAGGTAGCTTAGAGCAGTTTTGGGTATGGATTAATAACATCATTCCTCAGGGGCCTAGTATGCATGCTGTTGGGTTAGCATCTGTATGTTGGGCACTCGGCAAACCAGAAACACAGTGTGCTTCAACAATAAAAGAGTTAATCTCCTACCGAGATTATCTGTATGATTTGCTCCTTTCTCACGTATTGGGCAGGGCTTCTGAAGGACGATCTGAAGCATCAGGTGACCCTAGGAGCGGAGGCGATTAAGACGGTGGTGCTCTTCTTCCACAAGCAAGATGTGAAGTCGCAGCCTCAAGAGGAGAATCAGTTGATTCCGTTTGCTGGTTGATCCATGTTCTGGCGGGTGGTTATCTTCGTCGCTGCTGTGGGCAAGTGCACTGTAATGAGACGCTTTTTGGTTGATTGGAGTGTTAGCTATGTTTTGTCTTTTTTGTGTGCTTTGGTCGTGCATTCTTGCATATGGTCCCTGTGTAATCATGTGCTTGAATGTGGTTTTATTCTCATGGCAAAATTGACTCCTGGACACTCTTAAAAGCTGGCTTTTGCCACAGACCACTAGAAAAAGGTGGCTTTGCCACAAACCATTACTGAATATAATAATAGACATAGTGTCTCTCAGCAAATTTACATCTATTTATAGTATCTTTTGGCAAAGCCAAATATTTTTGATGATCTACAGCAAAAGTCACCTTCCAAGAGTGTCTGTGAGCAAATTTTGCCTATTCTCATGTAGCGGTTGGATGGTTCTGAACTGAAACTCTATAGTTTTGTTGTTGTGGTAATGAAATTCGGTTTACCTGTGTGGAAACGATAGGTTGAATACAAGAAGTATCTTGCGGCAAAGAAAGAAATTCCTAGAAGAGGGATATAACTGTGTCATGTGCCAAGATGGAGTAGAGGATGGAAACTTCCATGCACCTCTTCGTAATGCTTCTCAAGTGTAACCAGATGGTTTGCTCTTGGACTGCAGTGGACTATTCATCAAGGAAGTCTTCTTCAGATGATTGGAGAACAACGGCGCTCTTCACGCCTTCCTTTTTTCATGAAGATTTTTATGATTGTTGTCCGGTGAATTGGAAGGCGCAATGCTTTTATTTTTAACAATAAGGTGCCATTGTTGACAGCTTGGAAGGGAAACTTTTCAGCTGAAGTTAAATGGTAGTACTAGCGCCTAACGTCTGGACGGACGTATGTGCCTATACCCTATTCCCTATCGTGACACACACAACTCTCTCTGCCCCGCGCCCATCCCAGTCCGGAGGTGGCGTCCGTCCGGACGGAGCTCCCGCGCTTGCGCCCGATGCACGCAACTCCCTCGATGTGCCCATCCCGCTTAGGTCGAGCTTGAACTGCAACGACAAGATGGAGGGAAGGGAAGCGAGGGGAGGGAGACAGAGGAGAGGGCAAGGCGCGCCGCGGGAGGAAGGCGGGAGGTAGGAGCTGAAGCCTTGTGGCAGACCGCTCTTTGCCAGCCACCGGCGCTATGCAACACCCTATCTATTTTTGAAACATCCAAATGAAACATTTGAAACAAATATCTGAAACACATTAAATAATTGAAACATAGGCTTGCAACATGCGTATATTGCATTACAACATATGCAATATCCCAAATCGACTTTTACAACATTCAGATGAAACACTTGAAATGTAAAAAAAAAAATTGGTGCAGTCTGGCTGTACCCTCCCGGTGTGCACATCAGCTTGAATCTAGTGACACTTGTCACCAAAGACGGTGTCACCAAATCCAAGCTGATGTGAAGAAATCAAACTACAGTCAGGGAGAGCGCCTCCTTCGTGGCTCTTTCAATCCCAGGCTGGCTCTCTCTCTCTAGCTGGCTCGTGTCTTTGGCTCCATCCATCTATCTCCGTGTGACACGTGTCACCAGATGAAGCAAGGTCTACATGGCGGGAGGGTGTAGCCAGATTGCACTGATTTTTTTTTTCTGAAAGTCTGAAACGCCAGAAACACTCAAAACACGGCGTCACCGGTGGTCATAGCCTACCTGGTGGGAAACTGCGGTAGCCAGGAAGCTTTGGCGAACGAGGAAGACGACCGCAACCGCAAGCGCTGCCGTGTGTGCTCGCACCACCACCGTCGCGACGTGGAGCCGGAGGCGGCGCCCACTACCAGGGACCAGGAGGGGGGCATGGAGACTGAGCAGTAGTGGCTCGATGACGAGATGGCGCATCGCCGCATCCACATCAAGGATTGGCAGGAGAAGCCGCCTCGAGCAGCAAGGTGCCACTGGGCTCAGGCCTGAGGCAAGCAACGGTGCCAGGGCAGAGAAGATATGGACCATGGAGGAGAGGAATCTGATGAGGAAGAAGAGACACAGATTTGGGTGGAAGGGATAAGTGCAGTGGAGAAGCGGAAGGGATAAGCACATGGGATTTATTTTTTGAGAGAGCGGTAGAGCAGATGAGTGGAGGAGCCGTGTCTGGACGGGACGGGCGACCGTGGTTAAGTATTATCGGAAGTTAAACTTCATCACCTGTGTCGTGTCCTAGCTTCCCTCCATCCTTCAATCATGAATTGGATCAACCTGTTGTAATTAGGCTTTTGTTTTTTTGTAGCTTCTTAGCTCTTGTCTTTGGGTAAGTGTTCTTGGTTAGCTTTGTGCTAACCATCTTTCTTTGTAAAGAGTTCCTTCGTAAAGGTTTTTTTTCTCAATAAAGCGAAACAAATAGTGCATGTTATTAAAGCTGTATAAAACTCTAGAGCCAAGAGCAATGCGCTTTTTCGTGGCTAATTGATTGTCGTTTACTTTTCATATTGGAACCTAGCAGTGTGCATGTAATAAGTTAAACACTTTTCCTATATGTCAGTCCCCTGAAATATGTTTCAGTCGCCTGAAATATTGCATGAACTGTATTTAGTTTGTCAATCAATGGACAGAAATTCAAGCACAAGGAAACCACCACTACGAAGACATCATGATGTTTTTTTTTTTTTTTGAACTTGACATCATCATGTATTTAGTGTAAGCAAAAACGGGTCAAGTTCATAAAGGAGACAGGTCAACTGAAAAGGCTTAAGCTCCCACGATCATTGACATAGATTGGTTAAGTGGGTGCGACAGCTTCTGTTCGTCGAATCGGATGACCTGAGCCACAGCTCAAGCCGGTCCATGAGCTGGCCTGAAACTGAAAGAGACTGGTAGCGAACGTACAACACGGAAGTTTGTATAGATGACAGTATCACCCCGAAACGGATAACACAGATGGATGTAAACTAATAAGATTATAGTACTATCAGTTCGATGCCTAAATTAAAGTTTAGATTGAAAAATTTCATTCGATAAATAGCACTTTTTTGTCTTATTTGGTAAATATTGTTCGGAAAAACTAGTTTTTCCCTAAGCTCAAAAGATTCATTTTGATTTCAACTAAACTGTACAATTAGTTTAGTTTTTTCACGCCACATTTATCGCTTTCACGTAAATTGCTTGCTAAAAATTGATGTGATAGAGAGAGAGCGAAAAAACTTGAAATTTTGAGGGTATCTACTTACAAGGAACCTAGTAGCTACATATTCATGGTGACTGGGGCCGGATTACGCTTGCACGTACATGTTAAATGGTACAGCGCTTGCAGCATCGTTCTGCTGTGCAAATGCTACATCACATACAAGGTATTTCTCTACACACAGGTCTTGCTCAGAGTAATCGGAAGCCTGGTGAGCAGCAGGCACCATCTGAGGCTGCATATCTTCTTCACCTTGCATGCTCTCACCGGGGGCCTCGCCCGGTCCATCTTCCTGCCCAACAGCAACAGGGATGGCATTCTTGTCCTTTTTGCTCTTTCTACTACGTCTTGGTCGTTTCTGCCCAACAGAGACGGCATCCTTGTCCTTCTCGCTCTTTCCATGGATAGGTCGTTCCTGCCCAACAGAGGTGGCATTCTGGTCCGCTCTGCTCTCTGTATTTGTACATCCTGGTCGTTCTTTGTAAAATAGCTTGCAAACCACCCAGTCATTGAGCTGCAGCATGGAAGACAGGACAAAAAAAAACACATGTTACAAACTCATTTGTCTTAAATAAATGATCTCGCTACCGTGCGTGTCAATTCGTCGAGCATGCATGCAGTTGACAGATGGAACGAGTTAGTAAGAAGCTATATGAGCTAGTGTGCCGGCCAGGCGTTGCTTACCAGCATGGCTGAGCCGTCAGGCTGGTGCTGGTTCTCCGGGATGGTGTACTCCTTCATCTTCCACCCCGTCTGCCTCCCCCTGGGCTGCCGGCCGAGCTGGAACGTGAGCGACGTCATCCTCCCTATCACCGCGCCATCTTTGCTGCCGCCGGCGCATACCTCGCCCAGCTTGCTGTTGGATTTCCAGAAGCCCACCTGCTGGCCACCGCCCTCCGCGAAGACGCTCCTCGCCGGCCGCTTGCCGTTCCTGTACTTGCGGTCCCTCGGCGAGAACGCGTACCAGCACCCGTCCTGGCTCTCCCCACAGGCACCTGCAATCGTACAAGCAACAATGAGGTCTTTGAGAGATTTTGGTCGATCGGTCCATGCATGCGCGCGCTCATGTCTTGGCACGCGATCGAATTAATCTCTCTTCTCTTCCAATTGCAATTAGAGATCGATGTTGGACGACGACGAGACGACCTTTGATCGCCATGGGGTGTGCCTGGTAGACGTCGAAGTCCTTGAAGAATTTGACGGGCATCTGTTGCCCAGCGTTTTCATCCTGAGGAAGCCGATGAGCTGCTGGTCCGTCGGGTGAAACCTGACGCCGACAGCCGAAGTGTCCTCGTATTGTGGTCCCGTCGCCATCTGCATTCCCCCCGAGAGAACTGCCCAACCCAAGCCTCTTCTTGGGATAGTGGATATACCATAACAGAAGAATACAACGGGTAAACATCTTGTTGCAAAAATTGAGATGCAAAGTAAATCTAAAGAAACCATACGAAAAACAAGAGCGCTTAGGGACATAAGACAACAATATACACATCAATCCCTACTGGCTGTTGCTTAACGTCTTGGGACATAAAAACAACAATATACACATCAATCCATGTATTTGGGAGCATACTGGCTAATTGTACCCTCTGCTAAGTCACGTTTTGAAGACTGAACAACACACCAAATTCATGCTAAACAGCAAACAACGCACAGCAAACAACGAGGCCCAGTCCCAAATGGAGGATTTTCAAGAGCTTCCTATCAGTTGTGTTATCGAATTTACCCAATTTTTTTAATATTTAGCCTTTTTCTGAAGAAAATTTATGTTTGGTCTTCTAGGAGACTTAAATTCATTTTTGAACACTGAGAGTCGGCGTCAGGACTCATGAGTCCTGACGCCGAGGTAACACGTTTCAGCGCTACAGATCTTGGCGTCGAAGTGCCTGGTCGTGCACTACAGCGAATCTTATGTGGCGTTAACCTGGCCGATGGCAGAATATATGGCGCTGAGCTCCGAGCCGTGTAATCTGCGCCGAGCATGCTGTAAAGAACTGCAGCTTTTGACCGCAGGAGCCTGTTCGCTTGCTCGTAAGCGATCGTAAATTTTCAGTTGGAAATAGTGTTTTTCTTTCACACCAAACCAGTTAACAATAAATAATCCACGATACGATACGGCCTCCCGAACAAGCTGGTAGTTTTTTTTAAATGGAGGACAAGGCGCAGAGTGTGCAGCAGTGCACAGCTGCACCGCAGTAGAGCCCGTGTGGTAGCTACCTCGGCTCGCTCTCCGTCGTCTCAGCATATGTTGTGCATGTGAAGAGAGAGAGAGAGGGAGGGTGAGAGAAAGCTAACTGATAGGAGAGTGATAGATAGGTTGACAAGACACATTCAAGCTAAGGCCACGCGCATAGCAAAGGAACCTCATCATCACTAGCAAGCTACTTACGGACATGGTAGCAACGAGCTAGAATTGGTGGTGTTTAAATTTTAGTGGATGTCCCGCCGAATATTCGGATATTTTACTTTTAAGCATAATTAAGTCATGATTTGATAATACGGTGCTACAGTAAACATATGTTAATGATGGATTAATTATGCTTAAAAAAAATCATCTCGTGGAGTACTGATAGATTATGTAATTTGTTTTTTTATTAGTATCAAACATCCCATGTAACATCCTCTCAACACACCTTCTAAATTTTAGTCGCCGGATGCAGACACCATCGCGCTAGTTTCGCGAAGCAGTATGGCTCGCATCCTCTTGTTGGTGCTGGTCACCATCTAGAGCCTCCTGCCGCCGATCGCGAGCCAGCAGGCAGCGACGAAGTGCGAGTACACAAGGCACTCCGGCCACCGGTACAAGCACCTGGTGGGAGATTTAAACTCATTTTGGACCCTGGGGGTCGGCGCCAGGAATCATGGCGCGACGAGTAACACGTCTCGGCGCCACAGATCTTGGCGCCGAGGTGCCTGGCCGAGCACAGCAAGCCATCTTAGGTGGCGTTCACGTGGATCTTAGCGCCGAGCTCTGTGTTCACGTGGTCGACACCTCGGCGCCATAGATCTTGGCGCCGAGTATCGATTCAAAACCCGCGGCCGTAGCTCTCTCTCTCGCGTGCGCTCTGTCTCTGCCTCCTGCGCCGCCGTCGCCCGCAGCTTTGCTTGCGCCTCCTGCGCCACCGTCGACTCACCGGCGGTCGAGCCTCCTCCCTGCGCCCTCTCCCTTTCCGCGCAAGCGCCGCAGCAGGCCGCCGCCGCGCCCCCGTCTCCGTGCGAAGCCCGGCCGCCCTCGTCGCCCCTTCCGTCCTCCTCATCTATGTCCGGCGATGAGGGCGGCCGGCTGGGCTCCGGCCCCTGCGCCCCCTCCCCGGGGGTAGCTAGCTACTGCTCCTCCGGGCCATTCACGAGCCGGCCATCCAGGTAAAGTTACAGTAGTTAGTAATTTTTTAGTTAACTTAAATTAGTTAATTTACTTTAGATAATTTAGTTAATAATTTTTTTAGAATATTTAGTAAATCTAATTAGCAAATTTAATTACATAGGTTGAAAGTTAGATGCTTATTTTTTTAGTTATATTATATACTTAGGAATATATGTATGTAGCTTATTTAGTTAGATTATATTGTTAGAGACATAATTAGGGAGTTAGTTACCTATTGATTTAGTTAGCTAGTTAGTAAGTGTAGTTACCAAATCTCTTATCTTGTTATAGAGATAGTTAGATAGTTAGATACTTATTTGTTTAGTTCGATAGTTACATAATTTAGTTAGCAAATGTAGTTAGATATTATGGTTAGTTATCTTATAATAATATACCCGTAATAACTTGGTTGATGTGCATACCAACTAGATGGACAACGTAGTCACCCTATATCATGGAGGAAGTGTGGAGGAAGATGAGTTTAGTAATGTCAGTTTTGTTAGAATGCAAATGGTGCCAGTGATATTCGATGATCGGCCATTGTTTTGTGAGTTGTTTAGTAGGGCTCGTGATGAGTTTAAATGTAATTCAAATGAAGATGCCATCTTAGTTGAGGGGGTACTTCACCATGGCAGGTCAGGGACATTTTTGAGGCGGTTGGTCCCAATTGCATTAGAGGCACAATGGGACAAATATGTCAAAACTTTCATGAAGAATGAGTTTCAATGTTTGGATTTGGTTGTGCGGAAGTTGTCCAATGATCCCACCCCTCATGGGTATTCACCCCCTAATGTTCATTCACCCCTTCATGGTTGTCGTCGGCACCAGAGAATCCGGCACCTTATGAGCCTCTGTTACCCAACCGTGAGGTGGATGTGGAAGATGCGGTTGTGGTGCCCGATGCTCAATCCGCCCCCAATGAGGTTGGTGTATGTCCTGGTGTTCGTGCAGAATGTAGGACTGATGATATTGTAGGTGCCCCTCAGGAGATCCCTTTGACCTAGAATCATCCTAGTAAGTGATTTAGTAACACTTTGGCTCTCCTTATTCTTTGTTCATTCCATTCCTTTATCTCAGTGGTATCCATATCTGTGCTTTAAATGCAGGAGACAATCCTGATAATGATGGTTGTGCTCCTGTTCCTCCATCAACCAACATGGACCCAGGGTTTATGGCCTCTAACAGTGTAGATGTTGATATTGCGGATGATGAGGAGCCTTATGGCACAACAAGGGCTGTTGATTCAAATGATGACCGCCCAGTTGCAGCTTTGAGCGAACAAGAAATGGAGCTCATCAGACGTTTGTGTCCTGATCGTGATCCACTGGTTCATAAATTCAGCGACCTTAGTCATTCTCAACATGCTTATGGAGAAGGAAGAGATGACGAACTGCTAGAGGCTCCTGAGGCCGATGGCAGCGTGGAAATTCAGTTGGGCATGGTCTTCACGGACTTGCCCACCTTAAGAAGGTGGCTACAGGAATATTCTGTGAGACGTAAGAGACCATTCAAGGTGAGGCACTCTCATGTGGAGCGCCATTACACGGTGGTGTGCGAGATGGCAGATTGCAATTGGAGGGTTTGTGCTCGCAAACAGAAGGCCACAGGGAAATTCAAGATCACTAAAATTGTAGGTCCATGCACTTGCGCCCAGACAAATCTAAAATAGAAGCATAGACAGTTGACCTCTACCCTTATTGCCAGAAAGTTATACACAACTTTGAAGGGTCAGCCCAACTTGAAGGTCAGGACAATTATGGAGATGAGTAAGGAGATATTTAAGTATGCCATAAAGTATGGAAAAGCATGGAGGGCAAAGCAACGGGCCTGGAAGATGATATATGGGGACTGAGAGGAGGGGTACGAGCAGTTGCCTTCAATGTTCAATGCAATGAAAGCAGCAAATCTAGGCATGCATTACGAGTATATCCCGAAGCCGAATGAATGGAAGGACGGGAGGCAAATATTCTTTCGTGCATTATGGTGCTTTCCCCAGTGCGTCGAGGCCTTCATGCATTGTCGTCCAGTGTTATCTATTGATGGTACTTTTCTGCTTGGCAAGTACATGGGCACACTTTTGGTAGCGATTTCCCATGACACAAACAACGCATTGGTTCCTTTGGCTTTCGCTTTGGTGGAGAGGGAGAACAAAGATAGCTGGGGATGGTTCTTGCGGCTTGTTAGGATCCATGTGGTTGGCCCTCATAGGGAGGTAGATGTCATATCTGATAGATAACAAGGCATACTTAGTGCCATACAGGAGCAGATTCCGGGGTATGCACATTTGCACCACCGTTGGTGCACTCGACACCTTGCCGAGAATTTACTTTGGAAGGATGGTATGAAGGACAACTTTCCTCTATTCAAGGAGGTTGCTTGCATGCTTGAGGTGCCGTTCTTCGAGGAGAAGTTGGAGCAGCTGAAAACGGCAACAAACACAGAAAGTAGGCAGTGGCTGAGAGGATTGATGAGAGAACCTGAGAAATGGACAAGAGCCTACGACGATGGTGGATGGAGGTACGAGTTTCAGACTAGCAACATGGCAGAGTCATTTAATAGTGTACTCAAGGGTATACGTGCCATGCCCGTCAACTCAGGCTACGTAGGTTGTAGGAACGAGAAGACGTCGTCTGCCTTGCACGTACACTCCAGGCACCGACGCTCTTGGGCACAAGGGCAAGGGTAAGACTAGGAGAAAGTGACGACGACTTGTAGGTTAAGACTATGGTAATAAATTAGATCTGATGACACAAACTATTTGGGCTACATGGACTTTGCTTATTTTGCATGTGTGGAGATTTGGAAAGTACGTAGTTACTTTTCTATAACCATTTAGGACTGTATGGACATTGTGTACTATTTGAACTATGCAGGACATGTTATGTTTATTGTGATGCTCGATGTGGTTGTATTGTGGTCTTTGGACGATTAAATATTTGGATTATATAATGATGTCTCTGCTTGTAACCATGGATGCTCCTAGAAACGAGAGAAACTTTTGTGAATTTTTTCTGTAAATCATTAATTAAACTTCACTG